AAGGGGGGTGGTGTGTGTGTGTGTGTGTGTGTGTGTGTGTGTGTGTGTGTGTGTGTCTGTCTGTCTGTCTGTCTGTCTGGGGGCGGGGGATGGCTCGTGCCCACCCTCTGATGCACAGTCACAACCCCGGGCCTGGTGGTGGCCAGTGCCAGTCAGCTTGAGGCCCTGCACGAGGAGGAATCTAGACTGACACAGTCAGCATCCAACAGCCTGGGAACCCTGCCGAGGCAGGAGCGTTGGATGAAGGAGACATGGCTCACCGAGAGGATGATGTAACAGTCTCCCTCGTAGAAGCTGCCATGAGCACTCAGAGGCACCAGCACCAGCTCCATTTTCTAGAAGGATCAGAAGAGTATGCAGCTATCCTACCTCCAGGTTTCCCCACAGCCTCCCTCCCCTCTGTCCCTCGCTGGGCACGGGCACAGCCTCACAGGGCAGGTGGCCAGCCAATAGAGGAGGGACTTCTCCACAGCCTCACAGCCCAGCACAGGACCCTGCTCTACTCTGGGAACTTGTCCCTAATCACTCTGGCTCAGAATCTGTTGTGCTGTCTGTCCTTTCCTGTGTCCCTCCCAAGTCCTACTTGACCTCTAGAAAGGCTTGCGAGCCCCCTGAAGCCTGTGGAAGGGGAAAGAGTTGGGTGTGGCCACCCAGAGCCGCCAGGCTGCTCAAAGGAATTCTGGGAAGCTGAGCAGGAGTGGAGGTTGACCGCACAGAGAAAGCCAGGGTCTTGTCTTGCATTCAGGGCCTGACTTGGGGACCCGATTTGCTCATCCTAGGAGGCTCATTTGCATAGCCTCACATGCAAATGACACTGTCTTCCCAAGTAAGGCAAGCCTGTAGCCACCTTTGTGTATGTTCTAAGTAAAATCTGGATATAAGTATGAAAAGGCTTAGTGCCCATTTTTTTTTTTTTTTTCCCATTTATCGGGTGTGCCTAAGAGCAACGCTGTGCATGTGAAGGTCAGACACACTTGAGGGTATCGGTTCTCTCCCTCCACCACGTGGAGGTCAAGGCTTGGCTGCATATGCCTACATCCACTGAGCCACCTGGCCAGCTCTTCCTATTCACTTTGAAGTAAATAGGGGAGCCTTCAACACTGAGAGAAGGCTGGGCTTCCTTCCCACAAGCCTCTAGAAGCTTGCCAGAAAGCCATGACTCATGTTGGATGGAGCAGGATGAAGGGAAGCGTTACTTGTGGTGTTCGGGCTGCTGCAGCTGACTAGGTAGAGGTGGGCGTGTCCTGATTTCTGGTAGGTGCACCCAGACCAGAGCCAGAGCCACCCAGGGGAGACCAAGCCCACAGGGTAAAGGGATGAGCAATGGCCATCTGTGCACCATGCCCCCCCCCCCCAGTGTTCTGACAATGATGTGTACAGTTCCTCTGACAAGTCGCCAAGAATCTCCGGGCAAGGGAACTGCCTTTCCAAGATGCTGACTCGAGTGTAGACTCAGCGAGCACATGGTTGGATGAAGGACAAGCTTGGTTCTGCTTGGGGCCCTGCACTGAGAAGGCTGGGGCCCTTGGTGCTGACCCTAGTGGCCACTGCTTGGAGCCCATTTGTCTCACCTCAATTCTCCAGGTGATGATCCCAGGGTCATTGCCCACAGCTCTGAAGGCACTGCTCAGAGACATATCTGTGTCCCTGGAACTGAAGCATGACGGACAGGAGGTGACGCCCCTCACCGTGTACAGGACCCACCATTCCTCCTCAGACTTCCTGTCTCATCAGCCACCACACTACATGCCGTTTTCATATATCCCCCCCCCCATCTCACCACACGGTAGTTCAAGTTCACACGTGACCTGCCCCAGCAGTCCCCACCCCAAATGTTTGTTTCCACCTGCTACTTCCTGGTTGAGAGCTCTGGCTGATAGCAGTGTTTTAAGTAAGTGTGTTGGTGGGTGTGTGCATGGGACTGTGGGCTCCCCTGGGAGGCCAGAGGTGTTAGATTCCCCACAGCTGGACTTGCATGTGATTAGGAGCCACCTGCATCAGTCAGGCTCTCTGAAGAGTGGCACGCACTGCGCCTCCTTCTCTCTATTGGGGCCAGGGCACTTATTCCTGAGGGTGATAAATATCAGTGTCGACTTTGCACACACTGTCTCATTCCCAGGCCATGGCCCTGTCGCCTTCTAGCGCAAAGCAGGTTTAAGATGTGTCGTGGCACACCCCTTTAGTTCCAGCACTCAGGAGGCAGAGGCAGGTGGATCTCTGTGAGTTCGAGCCCAGCCTGGTCTACAGAGCTACACAGAGAAACCCTGTCTCAAAAAACCAATAAAATAAAACACAAATGAGGTTTAAAGAGGTTTTAGGTACTAAATAACTCGCTTATGGGCACATTACTAGAATGAGATCCTTAACTGAGCCTTTTTGTTCCATTTTATTTTATTAACACAGGGTCTCTCAACACAGCCCAGGCTGGTCACAGGCTTTACTTAGCCTCCCAACTGTGACTGCTGGGCTACAGGCTTCTACTACTAGACCCGACTCCATACCTCTTATTTTCATATCTGATCTTGGGAGCCTGTGTTTTAGCCACTTTTTTGTGCCTGCAACCCTTCCCCAATATGAAGTTGAGTGGGCCATAGCAAGGAAACCCAGGGAGAAATTATTTCCGAATGAAGCCGAGTCCTCCTAATCCTTCAACTCCTCTTCCCAGGTTCTTGGCAGAGCTTGTCACCCCACCTGCTCTTGGCTTTTAGTTTTAGTTTTGTAAACTGTCCTAGAGTGGTACCATCCCTTCATCACGACTCTTCTATTAGCTGATCTTGCAGAAAAGGGAAAGTAGAATGGCAGAGGCTGGGACAAAGGGCTCAGAGTGCCAAGAGTGTGTGTGTGTGTGTGTGTGGCCTCCTTGCCCATACCACAGCTTCTCCAGAAGACTTGTCCTCAGTGAACGTAGAGGTTTCCAGTGCCCACAGGACTGAGTAAGGCTGGGAGGGAAGTAGTAGTATATGAAGACGACCATGGGACCCTTTTTATAGTCATCGCGTGACCTGGTTATTAACACACAGGTTATTACCTGGTAGCTTTGGGTACATGCCTCCCTCCCTCAAGTCTTGCTTTCAGGGAGACTGCCCTCTGGCAGTATGCCAATCTGACTGCTAGGTTGCTTTCTCCTAAGACTCAAAGTAGGGATGGGTGGATTTATGAGAGATTAACAAGCAAACTGCCTGGGGGATCATGGCTACTTGGTGATATACTGGGCTGGGTGTTAAGTGTAGCATCGTCTGGGGATAGGGTGTAGTTCACATCGTAGATCATTTATCTTCCGGAGTACTGCCCACCCCTTTAAAAAAAGTCTGACCCTTTTTTTTTTTTTTTTTTTTTTTTTTTTTTGAGCCTCAATGGTAAAACCAGGTTTGGAGAGGATGTGCCATTACCACCAAAGAGGCAGGTTCCTTTGTGTGCAGTGGGAGGTAGACCAAGGCCAAGCCATGATGCGGAAGTACCGGTGTTTGAGGACTTAATTTGATAAATTGTGCTGCCCCACCCTGCGCTGCCCAGAACCACCAGGAAATACTCAGGGTTTCTTCAGGCCCTAGATTTTGAATTTTAAGTCTAATGCATGGCTCACTCAGGAAAGGGACCCAGAGGTAACAGTATGTTCCCAGTTAACTTGGTAAAGCCTAACCAGCTGGCATTAGCGCCTGCCTCAGAGACCCAATGCAGTTCCATGTCCCCCCCACCTTCAAAATCCAGGAGCTGACTAGAGACCCGAGATTCAGGAGCTGCCACACCCAGAAAGCCCAATCAAATCCACCCACCACATCAAAGTCCCTCAAAGCTGGGTCCCTGTCTCTGCAAGTCCAAATATCGGCCCTTTGGGGTCCTGAGAGGGCTTCGAAGATCCACAGGGTGTGGTTTGGGGATTCCAAGTTATAAAACTAGTGGTTCCTAGTCTCTTGCCCCACAGAGGAACAGATGGAGGGTCTTTCCTCCCCTCCTCCCCCAACCCCAACTTCCCCTGCCCTGAGAATGTGCTCAGTTTACACAGTGGGCTCTACAGGTACTTCTTCCAAGGAGTTTGCAAAGCTCATCACAAACTCCTGGCTCAATTGTTCAACGGCTTCATCCCAGAAGAGAAAAACAAAGCAACTCCTCCTCCTGCCTCATCTACTCAGCGGTCGACTGAAAATACACAACACAATAGACCTACCTCACCCTCTGTCCTCGGTTTCCCAGCAAGCAGCAGGTGAAGTACTGATGAGCGACCCCAAGGCAGGTGGCTTCAGGTCCTGTAGCCTCAGTTCAGCAATGGCCGCACAGACACCGGGTTATATTTGCTTGTGTTTGCATCATAACCACATTTTCCTAGCTCTGGCCAATCATAGCCAGCCTAGCCCTGGGCTTGACTCATTCAAACCAGAGGAGAAAGCTGTATCTGCTCCTATTCAAAACAGTGAATGCAAGAACAGACTTCAGAGCTCCACACCCTGGTCTATTGATTTTTTTAAAGAGTGCACTGCCCATCAATAATTCAGTGAGACGGAGGATATGAAATCTGCCATATTGTAGATATGAGTGCATTAGGCTGAAGGCAAACTGGCCAGAGCTGCCCACCACGTGCCTGGACTTTCAGGGTGGCAGGGCTCCTTGAGATGGTTCTGGTGCTTTTCAGGGTTCTTTGGTGTCAGGAAGGCTATTTCTTGGCATCTTTACTGTCATTCTACTGTGCGCCGGGAGACCATGCTGGGGTCTGAATCTCAGGGTTCCTGGTTTGGCATCAAGAGCGAACACAGGAACATCAAGCATCTAGTTCCCCCACGCTTAGCTTATGCCCAGCGGTCAATAGGACACCAAGCATACACCTAACGAGCACTCAGGACGATGGAGTTGGCCCCAAATTGGGTCAGAGAAGAGCCAACATAGCCCAACCTCTGTAACCTTGATCAGAAACCCAGTGTATGTTCTGCTGGGTGTTACAGCTTCACATGGGAACAGCAGTACCCACAGAGTGCCAGTAAGGAAGGCGGACAGCTCCCACTCTTGCAAAGGTTTTAAAACCAGCCTTTATTAACTAATTGTAAGTAATACAAATATTCCAAAAATATAAACAGACTCTTAATGGTATCCTACATTTCAAGTTTTTGAATACAACAAAGGTATCAAATCATGAAGCAAGGTGGTCAAGGACCCCGTAGCCCAGACACAGTGGGAGGGCACCCCTCCCCTCCAAATGGCATCTTGAAAGGGAGAATAGGCAAACCTGGCGTAATTACAGGCAGAGACATCACCAGCCCGAGAGAGGGTGTCTCAGGAGCTGACCGCACTACCGGAGCGGGCAGGACAGCCGGCCAGACTGCTCACCTCTCTCCCTGGATGTCTTTACTGGTGATGTTTACTAAAAAGAAAAGGGAGCTGGTGGTGCTTGTCTAGTACACATGCAGTCCCCGTTGTCACCAGCACCGGGAGGTGGAGGCAGAGGCCACAAGTTCAAGACCATCCTTGGCTAGACAGTGAGTTCAAACACCTTCCCGGACTCATGAAACCCTGTCTGAAACAAAAAGGTACTTGGGAAAAAAAAAAAAAAAAAAGAACTGAGAAGTGGCCGTGGTCAAGTAGCCAGAGGGGAAACCAGGCTACCGCTCTCATTCACTTGGCCAGGCCGACACGCTGGAGGCAGACAGGCCATGATCGGCTGCACTGCCAAGAGGCCTCTGGGACAGGGCAGGGCATGGAACCATCGAGGACCCATTTCCCAGGGAACAGCAGAGCCCCGTGCTTTTAGTGACGCTCTCTGAGCCACTGTTAACAGAGGGGGCTCCACATTTACACAGAAATCTTTGGGAGGCAGGGGGAAACAGGTCCCTGGTTAAATGAAGGCAAATTCACTCAACCTCTTTAATTTAGGGACCCATGGGCCTACAGTGTCCCCTCTACAATGTGCAGAGTGGAAACCCTTACCTGGCCCTTTATCAAACTGGTCCTGTGTCCAAAGCTCCCCCTATAAGAGGGACACGAACATCAGGCTTTTGATTTAGAAGCCCAATCAGAGAGACACATTGTGTCCCTGAAGAGGCACCTTAAAGAGCTGAACCTGACAGCTGGGCAGATCCCTGGCCTGGCTGGAGTGGGTGATGACGGCAGGCCAGGTGGTCTCCTGAAGACTAGTCTGCAACGGAAAGGCCAGAGGCAAGCCCGGGGACAGAGGGGCTGGCTCCCTCCCAGGGTCGCCCTGCTCTGTGCCTGCCTGAGCTCTGAGTGGCACGCCTCCCAAACCATCACTTGCCTCTAAGACATGGAACTAGCAAGCAGGACAGGCCCCCTTTAGGTGTGGAAAGGGGATGGCATCTCTGTAGCAGACTACAGGTGGCAGAAAGGATTCTGGTGACAGAGAGGCCCAGAAAGCTGGGACTTCCGGTAGAAGCAGCAGGGCTGGCCCATGAAGCCACTCTGGGTTTTGGTCATGGATCAGACTCCAGTCCTTGCCTAACTGCAAGGGCTGAGCGCAGGCTCCTCCTCTGCGAGGTAAAACATGGAGATGCAGACAGGAAAGGGGCCTTGGCATTCGACTCTGAGGCTCTTATTGCTTAGTCAGGACTAGCCCTCAGAGCAGGCCTTGAGAGGGGATCCTCTCCTGTGATGTTAGGGTGGCAGTGAGACCAGGGCCTGGATCTGAAGCCACAACCAAGCTCCTGTGTCCCTGGCTAGCACCTGGAGCGCTCTCCCATCACCCTGGCAGGACCCACAGGCACCAGCAGATGGTGCTGCGGCGGGGAATGGCATGAGCTCGGGGAGTCTGTCCCGCTCTCTGACATCAACTCGAAACACAAGGCCTTGGACTAAGTAGGAAGACTGCACAACGTTAGAAGGGTGCCAGACAGTCATCCGACAGGACACGGAGGCAGGCCCTAGTGGGGAAACTTAACAACATTGCATGGCTCCTGAAACAACAGACAGATGCTGCCACCTGCCTCCAGGGAAAGCAGAGACAGACAGGGCCAAGAACTCCAAGCCAGCTCAGAGAGAGGGGAGAAGCGGACCCAACCCTGGGGGGAGGGACTCAATTAAGGCAGTGATGCTGAGGTGGCCTCAGGGGCCCCTTGTGCTCCAAGTGACAATGCTTCTGCCCTGGGGAAGCTTCCTTCCTGTCACTCTTTTGTTAAAGCCTTTAAGATTGAGACCTTGAGGCACCCCCAGAGTGCAGGGCGGAGGACCCCACTCAGCCCTGCTACCACCGGAGCAGGAGGCATCTACCCATTTGGCAAAGCAGTGACAGCAAGACCTGTAGCCCTCGGCCCTGGGAAAGCAGTTCTCCCAGGGCCCTGGAGAGGCAGAGAGACAGCCAGAAAGGGATGAAGGTGAGATCAGACACGACAACCAGGACAGGCCACCAGGGGCGGACGGCCCAGGGGAAGAGCCCTGACTGGGCACCGGGAGGGCTGGGGCAGCCTAGCGACCCTCCTGTCCTTTGGAGCCGACATCCCCGCACCACACTTCAGGTCTACAGCAGGGCGACACACGCTGTGCCCTGGACATTTGCTTCCCTGTACCCTGGCACCTCCCACATGCGGATCAGGCCCCGGAATGCAGCTCAGCCGACACAAACCAGGCCCACCACTCCATGTTTACAAAGGCAGTTTTAAAAAGCATAAAAAGAACAGAAATCAGTTCTGTGTCCTCTTCCTGGGTAGGGAGGAGACCTCCTTTCCCCATGGGAGTTAAGACTATGGCTAGGGAGTGCGAAGGCTGGCTTGGTGCTAGAGCCTGGGAGACACAGCAGGGCCCCTGGTGATAGGCACTCTGCTGGAGCCAGATGCGACCGGGTGAGGGGTGGGGGTGGGGTGGGGTGGAGGGGGTGGGGTGGAGGTGGGGGGGTGGGGTGATTCTGAGCACTGGTGCTGCAAACATGCTCTCATCTTCCCTGGTATGTCTGCAGTTGCTGGCTAGTATTTTGTGTTTTCACAAGGGTGTGTGTCTGAGGCACCAAGGCAGCCTCTGGCTTCTCCTTTCTCCTTGGCACAGGCCTTGTGACACTGAGGGAAGGCCGTGGTTTGGCAAGGGAGCCTGCAACAGTTATCATCGCTCTAAAGCTCCATAGCTCACTGGTCAGTAGGATAGGAGGCAAAGGACTTGGGTCGAGTCTTGATCTTCCAGCTTCTCCCCCTACTGGAACACTGGACACCCTGGCCATGGTTCACGGTATGAGCACATGCACACACACTCTCCTGGAACCACACACAGGGTGCAGACAGCTCTGGATAGGTCCGATTTGCCTGCTCTGCTTCTAACCTGCCCTAAAGATCTTGTCACCGTTTTCTGGCTACTTCCAGACCCTTTGGGCAAATGCTCCAGCTGCTGCTCGGCTAGGTCGTCAGGCTGATCAGAAAGGCACAGTGTAGCAAAAGCCCCCTACTGGGATGGCCATTTCTTGGAAGCAAGAAGGCTAAGGGGCCCGCAGCTGCCCAAGACTGGTGTAGACATCATCTGCTCCGCTCAGCTCCTCAAAGATCGGAATGAGGTTCAGCAACTCTGTATCTGCCATGTCATCAAACCAGGACTGCACAGGCACCTGGGGCAGGGAAGAGTTGAGGTTAGTCTGACCTGTCCCGTCCTTGCCACGCCACTGGAGGCTGCTGGGCCCCACTGGGGTAGTGCACTCTGGCAAAGCCCCTAGGGCCTGTCTGGACCACTCACTGCATTCTCCGGGTGGAAGATGTAAGACGCAGGCGAGTTGTCCAGGATGAGCGTCTTCCTCAGGTCCCTTCCCAGGCGGCTGAGGTCCTTGACGTAGCAGCCCTGGTGGAACACACAGGACTCCCGGAACAGGCGGGCCCGGAACACCCCACACTGGTCCAGGAGGTCCGTCACGGGGTCGGCATACTGGAAGAGGAAGAGCGGCCTTAGCCTGGATGCGTGTGGGTGCCACACCTCTCCCTTCCCCCCTCCCCCCCTCCCTCCCGGCTGTCTGGTACCTTGGCCAGGCTGGCAGTGAAGAGGACACATTCGAAGAGCTCCCCCATCCGTCTCAGGAACTCGTCAACGTAAGGCCTCTTGAGCACATACACCTGGGGAGGCAGAGAGGGGCTGCAGGTACCCACGAGGCCGGCCTTCCCACTGACACAGAAAAGACATCAGGCCCAGGAGCCCGTGCCAAGACCCCTGGAACCTCTGTCCCACCAAGCATGGCTCCAAGCAGGCTTCTGCTGGCTCAACAGGCTCAATCCTAAACTGCCAGGAAGGAAGGCACACCATGTCCCAGGAGCCATCTTCATTCCGAAGGTGAACCATTAGCTGCCTCCAGAAACAAGTAATCAAGAATAGGCCTCACAGATGGAAACAGCCTATCCTGGATTACTTGAATCCAGCCACAGCCATCACACCGGCTTCTGTACTGACTCCAGGCAGGACCCTGTGCAGGTCCCCGTCTGCCAGGAACCCCAATATTTCCTCAAACACACTCCCTCACAGGGCTTCTGTGAGCACCGCCAGGGCAGGAAAGGGCACACGGTGGAGAGGCGTCACGGTGGAGAGGCGTGCCTGCATCGCTCTCACTCTTCGGATGCTCAGGCTACAATCTACCGCCGCCACCCCACCCCCAGCCTACACAGGTGCTCCTCAGGTCCTTCCCTTGAAGCTCCTTGTCACACATCTCACCCCAAAGCAGCGTATGCTTGCCAGTTTCCTTCCAGACCAAATCAGCCACCGATTCACCAGGGGACCCCTGGTTTAGCAGCAGGGACTCTTCATAGGAACACAGATGGTTCTAATCACCCTGCTACTCCTAAACTTCACAAAAATCCCCTTCCTCGGTGGTCACGTGACCCCTCAGAGCTTTTCTCAAGTGCACACTGGGCAGCCAGCCCTCACCCACTTAAATTCCATCGTCTTTACTTCGTGCCTCCATTAACCAAAAGTCCCCTACATGCATTTGCCTATTTGAAGGCAGGACCCATGAATTATGTGCATTCCTATTTCCTCAACTGGACCGTAAGGGATGATGGGCCTAGCAGAGGACCACAGTTTCATGGCTGTGGTAAAGACAGCCTGAAAATGGAGACGGGTTACGATGACAAATGTGTGAAAGCCCCAAGCTGTGCTTTCCCTATGAATAACTACATAGAGACTGTTAAAAAAAAAAGGGGACGGGAGAGAGTTCTTATAGTCTGACTACAAAGAGAAAAGGAAGTGTAGGCTAGAAGAGAGAGGCAGAGAGAGAGAAAGGGGACTGTAGTCCAGAGTCCAGGGTAGGATGACAGTCAGGACTGTCAAACCACTGGGAGAAGCTGAAGAGCAGGAAAGGGTTAGGTCACTAAGGCGACTTCCCCGTTGGAGGCTGGTGTGGCCTGGCAGACAGCTTACCTGGTGAGTGGTCCCCTCAATCTCTACAGGCACTATGAAGTCAGCATTGTTGATTGGCTGGAAAGCAGAAGGTAATGGTCAGCGGGCAGCAGGCTCTCCCACCACCCCCGGGAGACAGCCCGGTCTCAGCCAGCACAGGATGAAGCAGCCCCTTTCTTCCCCTGTCTACCTGCCCAACTCTAGCAGAGGTTAAGTTGCAGGGTTTAACTTTGAGATAGGGTCTTGCTACACAATCCAGGCTAGCCTCTAATTCGTGTTCCCACGAGCAAAGGGCTTACAGGCACCACGTGCCTAACTTCCGCAGCACAGGTTATCGTGGATATTGTGGCTTTCCTGCCTCAGTTTCCCAAGCGCTGGGATGGTAGAAAGAAGTGCCTCTGCACCCAATTTAAGGCTTTCATGCATTGAGAAAGACATCGGTAAGAAGAGCAGAAGTGCTTTTCCATGCTAAGTGCAGACAGACCCTGCCCGTAGGCGGTGATCTGTGATGGGTTAGTGTGTGCACACATGCGTGTGTGAAGGGTCTCAACACTTCAGTGTGACGGCCTCTGGATGTCTGTGACTCCGGGGTGGCCTGACTCCTTCCCTCCATCACCTGTCTTCACCTGCAGACCACCTCACAGACAGGTCCCGGCGAAGGAGGGGCCGTGTGCTGACTTACCTTAAAGGAACTATGCACAAGGGTTTCATCCAGGTCGATGACCACACAGATCCTTCCTTGATCTTGCTCTGTCACCTCTGGGAGCAGGCAGGTCCCAGGGATCTGAAAGCAGAGGTAAGCTGCTGAGAGGTGGCCAAGAAGCAAGCAAGCCCAACCGTTCCCCTCAGCAGAGTACCAGGAAGAGCCAGGCTGTCTGGAGACACTCACAACACAGGAAGGCCCTGCTTAAAGGCAGAGAACAGAGGCAGCAGGCCGGTTTTAGCCTTAGGGACTGTGAAAGCAGCAGGGAGACTGGGTGTCCATCAGGGCTGGTGTGGGGCAGATAACGAAAAGGAGGGCAGGCGGCTTCCCCCATAGCTTTGCAGGGGCCCTTAGCAATTGGTCAACACAAATGGCTTCCCAGGGTAGGGAGGTGGCCACCCTGCCTGCCAGGCTACCCAGAGTCCAGAGGGTCAGCCACATCGACATACCTGATAAAACTGGTACTGGAGACATTGCAACAGATCCGACTGCGAGAGAGAAAGGAGGTCATGAATGCCAATTTGTCAACCCCACCTGTCGTAACCAAGCCACTGCTCCTGCCTCTGCGAGCCCCAGCCACCTGGCAGCTCCCCTCAGGACAAGGGCCATTCTGGGAGCTGGGTAGGAAAAGGGGAAGGCCGCCTCCCTACAGAGTGAGCACAGGGCCTCAGGGACTCCAGTCCCTTCAACCTAGTTTCTTGCTAAGAATGTATGTTTTCTCTCATCTCCTTGGGGCACATGTCATGTGAGGGAGCATCAGAACACCCAGCACAGCAGCATAAAACACGCCTGTGGTGCCCGACAATATGAGGGGAGTGAATACACAGGTCACAAAGACAGCACTAACAATGTTATCAAGTGTACCAAGTATTCCTTAAAAGTTAAAATTCCAAACTTAGAAAAGTCTAGATTGTCACCTGAGCATATTTCTTTCACATATAGACTAGCATTTCCCTATGGTAACATGTGATTTTACATTCTCATTTAACTGTGCAGATAAGTAGCTCTCTAACTTTGTGTGTTTTTTTAAGGTATGACTGTTCTGTCTGCATGTACGCCTGTGGGCCAGCAGAGGGCATTAGATGGTGGTGAGTCCACCACGTGGGAACCTCTGCAAGGGCAGTCCTCGCTCTTAACCTTTGACCTGTCTCCCCAGCCCCCAGGTAAGTATTTCTTAATGCTACTATGAAAAATTAACTGCTCAGTAATGCTGTCGGGTTGTATTTACTCAACCACCCCCCCCCCTGGACAAAAGGGCTCTGCCGATGCTCATGAGTACAGCCTGGTTTTGTGGAAACAGCTAGACATGGTTGTGTCAGAGTCATCAGTGTTTAGAGGAGAACCCTGTCGTTTGCTGGGGCTGGAACACTAGCCTTCCAGTCATGTGAAAGTAAAAATAACCCGCACTGCCATAGTGGGCGCACGCCTTTGATCCCAGCACTCGGGAGGCAGACGCACGGATCTCTGTGAGCCTGAGGCCAGCTTGTTCTACAGAGTGAGATCCAGGACAGCCAGGGCAGTTTCACAGAGAACCCCTATCTCGAAAAACAAACAAACGGGCCACGTTTTCAGTGGTCACAGTGGCACAGCTGCAAACTGCTGGCAGGGTTTGTTTGTTGCTGTTTTGTTTTGAGAAAGTCTCTCACTATATAGCTTACACTGACCTGAAACTTGCTATATAGAGCAGGTTGGCTTTGAACTCAGATACACCTGCCTCTGCCTCCTGAGTGCAGAATGCTATTGAGGTTACTAAGAGCGTGAGCATGTTCAATTCCTTGGTTTCTACAAAGAAACTCACTGGGAAGGCAGGTTTGAGTACTAGACAATACTAAAACAGACTTCAGAGCCACTACCAGTGACTGACATGGGTTACTCTCACTGCATCCCTGGGCCTCAGTTTCCCTGTCTGCAATGCAGCCCACTGCACAGATGACAAGTATCAGGAAGGAGACAGGCTGCTAAGGGAAGAGAGGAAGGGCCTGTGGGCCAGGGACCTTTATGGCCCCAGACCAGGCCAGAGTGCCCATCCCATCCCATCCCACTACCTTAGCAATGGTGTTTGTCTCCTCCTTGTATGCGAGCTCTGTGGAGGAGCTTGACTGGCCGACATGCTGGGTATGGAAACAGCAGAAAAGGGCCTTGAAGATGTTCCGGCCACGTGGTTTCTTAGGAGAGGACTTGGAGACTAGGCCTAGAGAAGGAACAGCAAAGGCATTAGCTGCAGGGACATCAGTCTGTCAGCGGCCACCAATGTCCACGTGCCCTCAAGTGTGGGCCCTCTCTGCTGGAGCCCAGCATGCTGCTTACTGCCACACTGAACTGGGTGTGCATTCGGCCTTTCGTGAGGAAACAGGCGTGACCCCACTCTCGGGTTTGGGAATGGGAGACCTGAGATGCACAGGGCTATCTTCATACTATGGTGGGTATCGTGGGCGGGGCCCTGCTGCAGAGGCAACACTACCATCCATCTAACGAACCCTCGAGGCCCTAAGTTCTCCTGAGCCGGGCTCCAGGAAGACTACCAGCTCCAGGAAACCTAGTCACCTTGGAGGCAGTGAGCCCGTGGTGCCTAAAATGGTGGGAGAAAGAGAGAACTTTGCCTATGTGTACACACACTGACTTAAAAAATACAATGAAAAAGGACCGCCCCCCCCCAAGCCTCAGCTCCAAGAAGGCATGCTAGCCTAGCTGTACATACCCAAGTTTCCTTCTCCAGATCTAGCCATTTTCCCTAATACTTTACTTCCCATCCTCCCGCTCCCACCCCAGGGAGCTGGTTGGAAAACAGATGGATTAAGACCCTGGGCCACAGCCAGGCAGGCGTTGGTGGTGCACGCCTTTAATCCCAGCACTCAGGAGGCAGAGGCAGGTGGATCTCTGTGAGTTCAAGAGCAGCCTGGTCTACAGAGTGAGTTCCAGGACAGGCTCCAAAGCAATACTGAGAAACCCTGTCTTTAAAAAAAAAATTTATTTATTATGTATACAGTGTTCTGCCTGCATGTATGCCTGCAGACCAGAAGAGGGCACCAGATGTCATTACAGATGGTTGTGAGCTACCACCATGTGGTTGCTGAGAATTGAACTCAGATCCTCTGGAAGAGCAACCAGTGCTCTTAACCTCTGAGCCATCTCTCCAGCTCCAAGAAACCCTGTCTTGAAAACCAAAAACCAAAACAAAAGCAAAAAGACCCTGGCCCACACATCCTGCAGTCTTAAGCTAAGGCCTCTGCTTCCCAGACCATAACTGTTGTGTTGTACCTCAGCCATCTGGGCTTTGGAAATACAAAGCCACTTTAAAAAGAAGCTTGCCAATGCAGCCTCAAAAAGGCTGAACTCATACAAAGCAAAGGTTCACCCACAAGGCCCGGCAGTAATGGGCTTCAGAATATCCTTTGCAAGTTCCCTGACTCCAGAAACTAATTGCTCTGGTAACTGTTAGACTGGGAGCGGCTGAGATGGGCTCTGTGGCCAGAAGGTGGCGCTGTACAACCAGTTATGGAATGGTTTCCAGGCACAGGTCCCTCTTGGCGGGTCTGAGTGTCCCAGAACCTATGTGAGACAAACTGTGCAGGCAAGTAAGTGCCAACAATGCCTCTGTGACTGAAGCAAAACAAACAGAGCAGGCGGCGGAGCTTTCCCTAGGTTCCTCTCAGCAGGGGGAACGTGGTGGTGGAGGTCACCGAGGGCTTCTCTTGCTCCCTCAGCTCCTGTGGGAGGTCCCTTAGGGAGTAGGTGATGGCAGAGGCACACCCTGACTGGGCTGCCTGAGACCCAGGGAAGAGGGGAAACAAACCGGCCCCAGATCCAGGGTGGCTTTCGCAGTCAGTACAATGGGATCAGAAGCACAGAGAGCAGAGGACCCCTCACCTGAGACCCAGGGCCTCCCCAGTGGGGATGCAGACTTCTCTCCCCTACCCTCCTGGGTTAGAACACTGGGCACCTCTCCAAAAGCAACCGGCCTTTCCAGGAAATTGCCTGGAAATGTGGGCATCACTTTAAAAGCGTGAAGCTAGAAGACAAATTTTTATGTGACTCCCGGTGCATGGACTTCAGGCTGTCAGGCCCGCCCAACAGCACGTGCTTTACCCCCTGGCCCATCTTGCTGGTCCCTCTGGCATCACTTGCAAGCCCTTGGCTACATGTGCAGAACCAAGATTTCTCTGGGCATTTTGTCATGAAGTGCTTCTGCCAAAAACTTCTCAACAACCAAATTCAAAGCCATGCCCAGTACTGAGCGGCAGGGGGATTCGCTTTCTATTCCTTGGAAAGGAGCACTTCCAGACACTTCCCCGTCATCTCTGCAGAAAGCAGAGGGAAGGGGCTGCTTCCCCAGCTGCCTCTCGGCCCACATTAAACCAGACTCTCGGGGACCCAGGACAGGTGCACACACACAGCTCCAAGGCTGAAACGGAGCTTCCCTTTGGTTTATGGTTTCTTCGTGCACAACCACAACTGGAGGCCTCACCCAGCAGAGTCTGTTGTAAAAGGCCACACAGTCCAGGCCTTTCATGAAGAGCGGTCACATTAGGAATGTGCTCACATCTTCTTGTAGTGAAAGGCACCGTGAAGGCTGTTGTAAGAGAGGCAGCTGGCTGGGGCCACAGAGAGGACCAATAGACCAGGCCTAAGCAGGGACCTTGAACTCTGCAGGGGTGAGGGAGGGGCTTCTCCAAAGCGGAGTGACAGCCTCTGCATTTCAGGAGATCACAAGCACACTGACCTGGAGGGCAGGCTCTCAGAGCAAACACCCCACACCCACAAGCGTGAAGCTGGCCTACCTACCCTTTCCCTCACAGCATCCTTACTGTCACAAACACCACTCTTGAGGGTCACCAGGGCTGAACTCAGCTTCCCCCCAAATGGCTGCTTCCCCAACAAAGGCCTCCCCTGTTATGTCCAATGGCCTTTGGCCCCTGTCTGGCAGGTACTCACTACTCCCACAGAGCTAGGGCCTGGAGAAAGGAAACCCTCCACCCGAGGAAAGGAAGGTGGTCCCGAGGAGCTGAGTGACTGGGGCTTTCTGGGCCGCACAAGAGCCAAGCCAGACCTGCTAAGACACCCGCCATCACCACCTCACTGAATTCTCAATAGAAAATCATTTGTAGGTCCTGCCTCCCGCCCCACCCCCCAATTTGCAGGAGGGAAACAGAAGCAGTTATCAACCTGCAGAGGTGTGTGCGTGAGAGACGGGGGGGGGGGGGGGGGAGCAGAGGTGTGTGCGTGAGATGGGGGGAGGTGTGTGCATGAGAGACGGAGGGGGGAGGGGAGGTGTGCGTGAGAGAGGGGGGGGAGGGGAGGGGGTGGTATGCCACCAGTCAGATATGAACCCACAGCAAGGCTCTCAGGCACCTCTCTTGACAGGGACACGGATGCACTGGCCACGCAGCACTACTGGCTTGGGCACGCGTGGGTCTCGTCTCTGGGACTTTTGCTCTTCTCTGCCCCAGGGTAAACTGGAAGGATCAGCTTGGATCCTCGCCCACTACTCTACAAGATTCTTAGGCAGGTCAGTCAGTGAGACACAGAAGTTAACACTGCTGAGACTCAACCCCACCCCCTCCCAACTGCAAGCTTGTGTCAGAGAGCCCTCAATGGCCTCTCAGTCCACACTCACTCTGCACTTCATCCCCGACAGCCAGGCCCAGGCCACTTCCCAGTGCATCATGGGGAGGACACCAAGTCCACCTCTCCAGGAGAGCACACGGGCAGGCGCTAGAGGGCTCAGGGCTGAAGGAACTTTGCTGTGCACAGTATCCCTGCCAGGGAAGGTAGGAGAGCCACACCCTCTCAATGGACCCTGCCTGCTCGACCCAAACCTTGGATGTCTAAAAAGGCCAGCAAAGGTACAGAGGGAAAGCCACCCTAAGTAGGAGGATCCAGGGACAAAAGACTAGAAGCCAGCACCTGTCACCACCCTCCAACCCAAGGCTGCTAGGTTTCCTCCTGAAGCAGGCAGAAGCCGCCAGGGAGGGGCCCCTCCACTTTGGACTTTCTGGCTGGGGTCCAGGCTCTTCCAGCTGCTGACCCAGCTGTTTCCCTTACTTAGTGTCTTCATCCAAAAACCGGAAGAGTGGCAAGACCTCACTTGGGATAAACAAAATAAAGGAGCACAGTCCTGGACAGCCTCTAAAACTAAAAGCTACCCAGCAACTGACAGCCTGGGCCTTGTCTGTAGGCTTCAACATGAATCACTAATCAGGGATGACACAGGTCTCATTCTAGAATCCCAGCAACAGGGGGTAAGGGCCCTTCCACCCCACCATATGGTTGGCGTTCAAGGTCAGATGAGGGATGAGGGCCTGGGAGAAATCTCCCCCACCCACCAAAAATTTCATCCCCACTCCCAGCTCCCCCAAATGGTACCATCAATGTGACAAGTATCACTTGCCATCAACACTGCCCTCTCCCTCCATACCCCCACAGCCGCAGTAAACACCCTGAGAACCTCTGCCTATAAGAAGCATGTGTTTGCACATGGGTGCACACGCACAAACACTGGCCTTACCAGGATAACACTTTTAACCTTGGAAGGTCAGATATCACGGCTGCCAGCAGCACAGCTCTATCTTAGAAAATGAACACCTCACAGGAAATACACTTAGGCCCAGACTGGGCAGAAGGCAACTCCCGGAGCTATGGGATTCTAACCAAACCTTTCACATACAAGGATTCTTTTCTGGTTCACTCCCTCAACACCCGAAAGCATCCCCCAGCTCCCATCCCCCCACAGTCCAGGGCAGGGCTGGCTCTCACTATAAAATGGCCTCTCTGAGTGGCCGCCTGTCCCTGTGCTGTTGGAGAAAGGAGAGTATTTGGAGAATTTCCGGCCCTTCTTGGCCTGCTGCCTGGGCCCTACAGCCAAGGCACATCTGACTGGGGCTTCCTGTGAAGAGGAGCCCTCCCAGGTAGTCACCAAGAGGCATCTGTGTCTTGGCTAAGGACAGGCTCCCAAGAGGCAGGTGTATGGAAGGGCTCTTTGGACCAGCAGGTGAATGGGCAGGGAGACAAGAGAGGGTAAGAGATGCCCACAGGCACAGAAGACTGCAAACAGCAGAAAGGTACCCGTCTTCATCCATGTGGCCCAAATACAGATGTGTTCCAGGCAGAGCAAAAAGCAGCGGTGTGAATCTCACTCCTGGTCCGTTTGTGCCACAGGCTCACGCTGTCGTGGCCTACGCTGGGCTCCGGTAG